GGACTTCAAGCAATTTGTCCGACGAGCAGTCGCAGTAGCTTGTAACAGCTTGTAGTAGTCAACAGGTCAGCTGCCATCGGATCTTGCTACATGTTGCTCCATCCGAGGCGAAAGAATCGCGGCAAGGACATGGCGGGCAACCAGCGGGCCCTTCGCCGTTTGCGAACACAGTGCGAGCGGGCCAAGCGAACGTTGTCTTCCTCCACCCAGGCCACCATCGAGATCGACTCCCTTTTCGAGGGCATTGACTACTCTTGCTCACTGTCCCGTGCCCGTTTCGAGGAGCTGTGCATGGACTACTTCCGCAACTCCATGGGCCCCGTGGAGAAGTGCCTGAAGGACTCTGGCATCGACAAGAAGAATGTGCACGATGTGGTGCTCGTGGGTGGCTCCACGCGCATTCCCAAGGTGCAGGCCATGATCCAGGAGTTCTTCAACGGCAAGGAGCCCAACAGGTCCATCAACCCTGATGAGGCTGTGGCCTATGGTGCCGCGGTGCAGGCTGCCATCCTGACTGGCGAGGGTTCGTCCCAGGTGCAGGACCTTCTGCTTCTGGATGTGACGCCCTTGTCCATGGGTCTCGAAACTGCCGGTGGCGTGATGACCAAGTTGATCGAGCGCAACACCACCATCCCCACCAAGAAGGCCTGCATGGACCATAGAGCTAAATTTTGCCTGTTGAGGGACGAGCCCCAAGTAGCCCTTAATGCCGCATTGATGCCTGCCTGCACGCCATGCAGTTGTTATCTCCACACCCAAACCCTCCACTGCGCTTGAACATCAAGACACATCCCCAGGCCCAGACCTTCACCACCTACGCTGACAACCAGCCGGGTGTGTTGATCCAGGTCTTTGAGGGCGAGCGAGCCATGACCAAGGACAACAATTTGTTGGGAAAGTTCCACCTGGATGGCATCCCGCCAGCCCCGCGCGGCGTGCCCCAGATCGAGGTGACCTACGACATCGATGCCAACGGCATTCTGAACGTGAGCGCTTCGGACAAGTCCACAGGAAAGTCCAACCAGATTACCATCACGAACGATCCTTGGCCAGCACCTGGCAAGTTTGCACCTTCGGTTCTTGAGCCCGTATAGCGCCCGCGATGCCCCCACAGGAGGCAAGTATCGAGACCCTAAATGCAAAACCGCCGAGGAGAAGGGCCGTCTATCGCAGGCCGAGATCGACCGCATGGTGCAAGAAGCAGACGCTTGGCCTGTTCTTGAGAGGTGCTTCTGCTTCCTGTCGGTTAGTGTTCCCTCAAGTTAGCTTTCTCACTAACGTTCAGGGCACCTTGACCACACGTGAGGAGAAGTTCCGTGCCGAAGACGAGGCTAACAAGCACAAGATCGAGGCTAAGAATGGCCTGGAGAACTACTGCTTCACCATGCGCAACACCTTGAACGAGGAGAAGCTGAAGGACAAGTTCGAGGGCGGCGACAAGGAGAAGATCGAGGCGGCCGTTCAGGAGACCCTCGACTGGCTGGACAAGAACCAGCTGGCCGAGAAGGACGAGTTCGAGGCCAAGCAGAAGGAGCTCGAGGGCGTCGTGAACCCAATCATGATGAAGGTCTACCAGGCGGCCGGTGGCGGTGGCATGCCCGAGGGCGGCATGCCCGGTGGCGGCATGGGTGGCGCCGCCCCCGGAGGCGCCAGTGGCCCGACCGTTGAGGAGGTTGACTAGGCCTGAGGCCGTCGTGTGCAGCAGGAGGCCAATTCGATCGAATTAGCCTGAGAAGCAAGCAGCCTGCAAGGCACCCCTCCAGAGACCAAGGAATGCAAACCGGCACTGTACAGTGCATGCCGGGAAAAAGGGGTTTTGTTCATGGTCGCCGTGGTCGCCGTCATTGAATGTGATTGAGCAGCAGCAGTTGTTGTGAGCAGCACCAGGTGATTCTAGTGAAGCCGGATGATCCGCAGCCCTAAGTTTTGCAGAGCAGCCCAACATCTTGCGCTGACCCCCTTCTTTCCTTTTGTCCTTAGACATGGCCAAGAAGACCGCCATCGGTATCGACTCTTGGCCTTCGTGCGAGCGCCCTCCGTTGAATATAGTGAGGTTGCAGGTTTGCACTGGAAGTCGTAGCGCAGCATCATGGTTCGATGTGATTTCATCTCAGGATCTTGGCACCACTTACAGCTGCGTCGGCGTTTGGAAGAACGACGGCGTCGAAATCATTGCCAATGACCAGGGAAACAGGACCACGCCGTCCTATGTGGCTTTCACCGACACTGAGCGGTTGATTGGCGACGCAGCCAAGAATCAGGTCGGGCACTCTCCCGGGTTAGTCTGTGCAGCGCACACGGCATACTCCTGCAATCATGTGGGCAGGTCGCGCGCAACCCGGAGAACACCGCCCCTGGCCTGCCCAAGTCTTTCTTTTCTTGGTTGTGCTGTCTGAAGGTCTGCGATTGCATAGTTTGCAGAGTGGCTTTGGCCTGCAGCGTGCTGAGGTGTTCGATGCCAAGCGCCTGATTGGCCGCAAATTCCAAGATCCCATCGTGCAGGCCGACATGAAGTTGTGGCCCTTCAAGGTGGAGGCCGGTACAGGCGACAAGCCGCTCATCGTGGTCACCGTGGAGGGACAGGAGACCTCCTCCCCATCCCATCCCCAAAGCCAAAGCCACCAGATCCCCTGCCTCACCATCCCGCATAGCCCATGCCTCCAGAGCTCTCATGAGCCATCGTGTGCACTGGCGAGACGAGCGACTCTTGACAGGAGAAGAAGTTCCACCCGGAGGAAGTCTCTTCCATGGTGCTCCTGAAGATGAAGGAGACTGCGGAGGCGTACCTCGGCACCAAGATCAACGATGCCGTGGTGACGGTGCCGGCGTACTTCAACGACTCGCAGCGCCAGGCCACCAAAGATGCAGGCGCCCCCTCATTCTGTCACACCTCTTGACGGAATCGTGTATACTGTTTATATCATCCTTGTCTTGGTTCACAATGTGCCTTTTCAGTTCTGTTCACGACGCCTCCATCACAAAACATTGACCCGTTGACAGGCACCATCTCGGGCATGAACGTGCTGCGCATCATCAATGAGCCACTTGTCTTGCCAACAAGCGCCAACAAGCGGACGCTGACTCTTGAATACGTAGCTACATACGTGTACGGTTTGGCAGACGTGTGCACCAGCACTTAGCAAGGCCAACTGCGGCAGCCATTGCCTACGGCCTGGACAAGAAGGGCTCCGGCGAAAGGAACGTCCTCATCTATGACCCTCGGCTACACGACATAGCACGCGGTCATGCAATCGGTGCAAGGTGAAGCCGTATTCCTCTCGGCAGCCTATTTGTGTACTATACTTGCCTTACTCAGAGTGGACATGCGTGGACCCATCCCCCTAAGAAACATCGAACACCGAGTGGTTGAACAGGACATGGGCGGTGGCACCTTCGATGTCTCGCTCTTGACCATCGAGGATGGAATTTTCGAGGTGAAGGCCGCTTCTTGCCAAAAGGCTCTTGTTTCTCTCAGTCCTGAATTGGAGAGCCTTGCCATTGGAGAGCTTTGCCCCCTACCTTGGTGCACAATCAGTGGGGTGCATGCAAGCCCTCGACGCAGAAACTCGTTTCTAAGTAGCGAGGTTTGTCGTAGCTTGTAGTTTTGGTGGTTGTTTGTTTGTTGCGGCTGCGCTCAGCAGCTGGTCATGCAGAGGCAACAGCGGGCGACACCCATCTGGGTGGTGAGGACTTCGACAATCGCATTGTGGACTTCTGCATGCAGGACTTCAAGCAATTTGTCCGACGAGCAGTCGCAGTAGCTTGTAACAGCTTGTAGTAGTCAACAGGTCAGCTGCTATCGGATCTTGCTACATGTTGCCCCATCCGAGGCGAAAGAATCGCGGCAAGGACATGGCGGGCAACCAGCGTGCCCTTCGCCGTTTGCGAACACAGTGCGAGCGGGCCAAGCGAACGTTGTCTTCCTCCACCCAGGCCACCATCGAGATCGACTCCCTTTTCGAGGGCATTGACTACTCTTGCTCACTGTCCCGTGCGCGTTTCGAGGAGTTGTGCATGGACTACTTCCGCAACTCCATGGGCCCCGTGGAGAAGTGCCTGAAGGACTCTGGCATCGACAAGAAGAATGTGCACGACGTGGTGCTGGTGGGCGGCTCCACGCGCATTCCCAAGGTGCAGGCCATGATCCAGGAGTTCTTCAACGGCAAGGAGCCCAACAGGTCCATCAACCCTGATGAGGCTGTGGCCTACGGTGCCGCGGTGCAGGCTGCCATCCTGACTGGCGAGGGTTCGTCCCAGGTGCAGGACCTGCTGCTTCTGGATGTGACGCCCTTGTCCATGGGTCTGGAAACTGCCGGTGGCGTGATGACCAAGTTGATCGAGCGCAACACCACCATCCCCACCAAGAAGGCCTGCATGGACCAGAGCCCCAAGTAGCCCTTGATGCCTGTCTCCACTCCATGCAGTTATCTCCACACCCAAACCCTCGACTGTCCTTGAACATGAAACCGGTTGCCAAGAACACATCCCCAGGCCCAGACCTTCACCACCTACGCTGACAACCAGCCGGGTGTGTTGATCCAGGTCTTTGAGGGCGAGCGAGCCATGACCAAGGACAACAATTTGTTGGGAAAGTTCCACCTGGATGGCATCCCGCCAGCCCCGCGCGGCGTGCCCCAGATCGAGGTGACCTACGACATCGATGCCAACGGCATTCTGAACGTGAGCGCTTCGGACAAGTCCACAGGAAAGTCCAACCAGATTACCATCACGAACGATCCTTGGCCAGCACCTGGCAAGTTTGCACCTTCGGTTCTTGAGCCCGTCTAGTGCCCGCGATGCCCCCACAGGAGGCAAGCATCGAGACCCTAAATGCAAAACCGCCGAGGAGAAGGGCCGTCTATCGCAGGCCGAGATCGACCGCATGGTGCAAGAAGCAGACGCTTGGCCTGTTCTTGAGAGGTGCTTCTGCTTCCTGTCGGTTAGTGTTCCCTCAAGTTAGCTTTTTCGCTAACGTTCAGGGCACCTTGACCACACGTGAGGAGAAGTTCCGTGCCGAAGACGAGGCTAACAAGCACAAGATCGAGGCCAAGAATGGCCTGGAGAACTACTGCTTCACCATGCGCAACACCTTGAACGAGGAGAAGCTGAAGGACAAGTTCGAGGGCGGCGACAAGGAGAAGATCGAGGCGGCCGTTCAGGAGACCCTCGATTGGCTGGACAAGAACCAGCTGGCCGAGAAGGACGAGTTCGAGGCCAAGCAGAAGGAGCTCGAGGGCGTCGTGAACCCAATCATGATGAAGGTCTACCAGGCGGCCGGTGGCGGTGGCATGCCCGAGGGAGGCATGCCCGGTGGCGGCATGGGCGGCGCCGCCCCCGGAGGCGCCAGTGGCCCGACCGTTGAGGAGGTTGACTAGGCCTGAGGCCGTCGTGTGCAGCAGGAGGCCAATTCGATCGAATTAGCCTGAGAAGCAAGCAGCCTGCAAGGCACCCCTCCAGAGACCAAGGAATGCAAACCGGCACTGTACAGTGCATGCCGGGAAAAAAGGGGTTTTGTTCATGGTCGCCGTGGTCGCCGTCATTGAATGTGGTTGAACAGCAGCAGTTGTTGTGAGCAGCACCAGGTGATTCTAGTGAAGCCGGATGATCCGCAGCCCTAAGTTTTGCAGAGCAGCCCAACATCTTGCGCTGACCCCCTTCTTTCCTTTTGTCCTTAGACATGGCCAAGAAGACCGCCATTGGTATCGACTCTTGGCCTCCGTGCGAGCGCCCTCCGTTGAATATAGTGAGGTTGCAGGTTTGCACTGGAAGTCGTAGTGCAGCATCATGGTTCGATGTGATTTCATCTCAGGATCTTGGCACCACTTACAGCTGCGTCGGCGTTTGGAAGAACGACGGCGTCGAAATCATTGCCAATGACCAGGGAAACAGGACCACGCCGTCCTATGTGGCTTTCACCGACACTGAGCGGTTGATTGGCGACGCAGCCAAGAATCAGGTCGGGGACCGGGCAATCCGAAATGCTGCAATGCCCCCGACAATCTAAGGCACTGCGTGATGATAGGGTCATAAACCTTCAAATACGCCGCCGGAAACGTTTCAGGCAGGCACTCTCCCGGGTTAGTCTGTACAGCGCACACGGCATACTCCTGCAATCATGTGGGCAGGTCGCGCGCAACCCGGAGAACACCGCCCCTGGCCTGCCCAAGTCTTTCTATTCTTGGTTGTGCTGTCTGAAGGTCTGCGATTGCATAGTTTGCAGAGTGGCTTTGGCCTGCAGCGTGCTGAGGTGTTCGATGCCAAGCGCCTGATTGGCCGCAAATTCCAAGATCCCATCGTGCAGGCCGACATGAAGTTGTGGCCCTTCAAGGTGGAGGCCGGTACAGGCGACAAGCCGCTCATCGTGGTCACCGTGGAGGGACAGGAGACCTCCTCCCCATCCCATCCCCAAAGCCAAAGCCACCAGATCCCCTGCCTCACCATCCCGCATAGCCCATGCCTCCAGAGCTCTCATGAGCCATCGTGTGCACTGGCGAGACGAGCGACTCTTGACAGGAAAAGAAGTTCCACCCGGAGGAAGTCTCTTCCATGGTGCTCCTGAAGATGAAGGAGACTGCGGAGGCGTACCTCGGCACCAAGATCAACGATGCCGTGGTGACGGTGCCGGCGTACTTCAACGACTCGCAGCGCCAGGCCACCAAAGATGCAGGCGCTCCCCTCATTCTGTCACACTTTTTTGACGGAATCATGTATACTGATAGTATGCTGCACACGTCATCCTTGTCTTGGCACAATGTGACCCGTTGGCAGGCACCATCTCCGGCATGAACGTGCTGCGCATCATCAATGAGCCACTTATCTTGCCAACAAGCGGACGCTGAATCCTGAATAGCTATATACGTGTACGGTTTGGGAGATGTGTGCACCTGCACTTAGCAAGGCCAACTGCGGCAGCCATTGCCTACGGCCTGGACAAGAAGGGCTCCGGCGAAAGGAACGTCCTCATCTATGACCCTTGGTTACACGACATAGCACGTGGTCACTCAATCGGTGCAAGGTGAAGCAGTCTGTCGCACTGTAGCTGAGCATCAAGTGGTTGAACAAGGACATGGGCGGTGGCACTTTCGATGTCTCGCTCTTGACCATCGAGGATGGAATCTTCGAGGTGAAGGCCGCTTCTTGCTAAAAGGCTCTTGTTTCCCTCAGTCGGGAGAGCCTTGCCCCCTACCTTGGTGCACAATCAGTGGGGGGCATGCAAGCAGTCGACTCAGAAACTCGTTTCTAGGTAGCGAGGTTTGTCGTAGCTTGCAGTTTTGGTGGTTGTTTGTTGCGGCTGCGCGCAGAAGCTGGTCATGCAGAGGCAACAGCGGGCGACACCCATCTGGGCGGTGAGGACTTCGACAATCGCATTGTGGACTTCTGCATGCAGGACTTCAAGCAACTTGTCCGACGAGCAGTCGCAGTAGCTTGTAACAGCTTGTAGTAGTCAACAGGTCAGCTGCCATCGGGTCTTGCTACATGTTGCCCCATCCGAGGCGAAAGAATCGCGGCAAGGACATGGCGGGCAACCAGCGGGCCCTTCGCCGTTTGCGAACGCAGTGCGAGCGGGCCAAGCGAACGTTGTCTTCTTCCACCCAGGCCACCATCGAGATCGACTCCCTTTTCGAGGGCATTGACTACTCTTGCTCACTGTCCCGTGCCCGTTTCGAGGAGCTGTGCATGGACTACTTCCGCAACTCCATGGGCCCCGTGGAGAAGTGCCTGAGGGACTCTGGCATCGACAAGAAGAATGTGCACGACGTGGTGCTGGTTGGCGGCTCCACGCGCATTCCCAAGGTGCAGGCCATGATCCAGGAGTTCTTCAACGGCAAGGAGCCCAACAGGTCCATCAACCCTGATGAAGCTGTGGCCTACGGTGCCGCGGTGCAGGCAGCCATCCTCACTGGCGAGGGTTCGTCCCAGGTGCAGGACCTGCTGCTTCTGGATGTGACGCCCTTGTCCATGGGTCTGGAAACTGCCGGTGGCGTGATGACCAAGTTGATCGAGCGCAACACGACCATCCCCACCAAGAAGGCTTGCATGGGGCCATAGTGTTAAATTTTGCCTGTTGAGGACGAGCCCCAAGTAGCGCTTGACACGGCATGCAGCTGTTATCTCCACACCCAAACCCTCCACTGCACTTGAACATCAAGACACATGCCAAGGCCCAGACCTTCACCACCTACGCTGACAACCAGCCGGGTGTGTTGATCCAGGTCTTTGAGGGCGAGCGAGCCATGACCAAGGACAACAATCTGTTGGGAAAGTTCCACCTGGATGGCATCCCGCCAGCCCCGCGCGGCGTGCCCCAGATCGAGGTGACCTACGACATCGACGCCAACGGCATTCTGAACGTGAGCGCTTCGGACAAGTCCACAGGAAAGTCCAACCAGATTACCATCACGAACGATCTTTGGCCAGCACCTGGCAAGTTTGCACCTGCGGTTCTTGAGCCCGTATATTGCCCGGCAACACGCATCGAGACCCCAAATGCAAAACTGCCGAGGAGAAGGGCCGTCTATCGCAGGCCGAGATCGACCGCATGGTGCAAGAAGCAGAAGCTTGTCCTATTCTTGAGAGTTACTTCTGCTTCCTGTCGGTTAGTGTGGCCTCAAGTTACTCGTAGCGTTTTCATTAAGCACCATTCAGGGCACCCTGAGCACACGTGAGGAGAAGTTCCGTGCCGAAGACGAGGCTAACAAGCACAAGATCGAGGCCAAGAACGGCCTGGAGAACTACTGCTTCACCATGCGCAACACCTTGAACGAGGAGAAGCTGAAGGACAAGTTCGAGGGCGGTGACAAGGAGAAGATCGAGGCAGCCGTTCAGGAGACCCTTGACTGGCTGGACAAGAACCAGCTGGCCGAGAAGGACGAGTTCGAGGCCAAGCAGAAGGAGCTCGAGGGCGTCGTGAACCCAATCATGATGAAGGTCTACCAGGCGGCCGGTGGCGGTGGCATGCCCGAGGGCGGCATGCCCGGTGCTGACATGGGCGGCCCCCCCGGAGGCGCCAGCGGCCCGACCGTTGAGGAGGTTGACTAGGCCCGAGGCCGTCGTGTGCAGCAGGAGGCCAATTCGATCGAATTAGCCTGTGCAAGGCACCCCTCCAGAGACCAAGGAATGCAAGCCGGTACTGTACAGGGCATCGCTGCAAAGTGTTACCGCTGCCGCCTTGCTTCAACCATCCTCCAACCCCTAAACGCTAAACCCAAAAACTTCGTCACTGGAGCCTCTCAGTTCACCGTCGTCACTCTCCGAAGCAGGAGCCCCTAAACCCTGCATTCCCTGAACCTTGAACCTCGAACCTCAAGCCCGAAAAATCCTGCAACCTGGGCGCCCGAACGTCGGTGACTCCCGTCTAGGTTTGTCAGCCAGCCTTCATCTCCTAGACCCAGGAAACCCCTGAGCCCCCAGAGCAACTGCAGAGGGTGCAAGCCTCAGGAATAGTAAATGATGGAGCTCAGCACTCAAATGCTCTTGACCCGGAAAAGGGTTCACCTTGCGTAAGAAGTCCCTACACAACAACTCCCTAAACCCTAAGACCCTAAACCCCAAACCCCTGAGCCCTAAACCCCAAACCCCAAACCCCTAACCCCTAACCCCTAACCCCTAACCCCTAACCCCTAAACCCCTAAACCCCTAAACCCCTAAACCCCTAAACCCTAAACCCTAAACCCTACACCCTAAACCCTAAACCCTAAACCCTAAACCCTATCCCCAAACCCCAAGACCCCCCCCCCCCCCTGGCAGGCTCCAGCACTGCAAGCCTTTGCCGGGCATCGTTTAACAGAGGAAAAAGAGGGGGGGCGGCCGGTTCAGGGTTCAGGGTTCAGGGTTTAGGGTCTAGGTTCTAGGGTTTAGGGTTTAGGGTTTGGGGTTCAGAATTTAGGGTTTGGGGTTTGGAGTTCACGGTTTGGGGGCGCAGGGTTTGGGGTTCAGGGTTCAGGGTTCGTCCTTTAGGGTTTAGGGTTTAGTAGGGATGAGCTTCGGACCGTATACCCAGGCCTTAGGGTTCAGGGCCCAGGGTGTCACATGGGGGTTACGAAAATAGCGGACCCCCAACATAGCTCCCCCAAATAGTAGGATCCCCTTATAATCCGGACCCCAAGAAGGTGCCCCGAATTTCGGAAACCCTCCATATCAGGACTTAGGGTTTAGGGTTTAGGGTTTAGGGTTTAGGGTTTAGGGTTCGCGGATCTTCGGGATGTCCTCCGTCTGTCTGCCCACACAAGATGACAAGAAGAGCACATTAAGGCGCTGAGGGAGGCTCAGCCATCCTGCGAGCGGCATCGCAGCTGTTTGCCGGGTTTGGGGCTTAGGGTATATATACACATAAAATTATAGATATTATATGTGATCTCTCTTTATATATATATAT